GAAATAAGTGATACAAATAAACAATGGTAAACAGCTATATTAATTGAAATAAGAAATAGTAATAATGAGTAAATAAGCATTTGGAGGGTCAAAACGTGACATTCTTTTCAGGACACACACACAGCCGAGGGCTTCACAACTATATGGAGCATAGGTGGCATATCTCAATGCAAATCATCTCACGAATAGATTAACAGACTATTTCACTTTTTGAAACTATTTTTCTTTTTCTATTTACTATTTACTTGCACTATATTTTTTTGTTTATCTGTTTTATTCGTTTGCACTGTTGGAGGAGCCTGTGACCTAAGATGTTCATCGTCATAACTACGCTGTAGCTATGTAAGTACGACAAATAAAAACCTTGAACCTTGAATTTATTTGAAAGGTGGGCTTATTAACACATGAAGACAACTGTGTTATATAGGCTCACATATATATTTACAGTTGTTCTCGATTGCTAACACACTAAAATGCTACATAAAGCACAATTATTTTAACCGACACTCAAAGAGCAAAACATCGGCTCAAATCTCCAAAACTCTAAACACGTTTTCAGCTTTTCACACAATTTGCAAATCAACATGGCACTTTCTGCAAACCACTGCACACGTTTCTCCACGTAAGACACAGGAATCTGACATGAAGTCACGTGTTAGCAGGTTTAAAACACTGATATTCAAAATGCCTCACACATGGACCAATGAGCAAGAAGCATGTTCCACCTGACCAAACACCTGATAGCATCATTGTTGGCTCATCAATCAGGATGTTAGCACTATAAAAAGACCACAGGTGAGTACTCTCTTACAGCAACAATGGAAGCCAACATGGAAGCAAGAGCAAGAGCAAGAGCAAGAGCAAGAGCAAGAGCAAGAGCAAGAGCAAGAGCAAGAGCAAGAGCAAGAGCAAGAGCAAGAGCAAGAGCAAGAGCAAGAGCAAGAGCAAGAGCAAGAGCAAGAGCAAGAGCAAGAGCAAGAGCAAGAGCAAGAGCAAGAGCATTACTATTACTATTACTGTAATTGAATTGTTGGCATGTTGCAGACTATAACTGTACAAACATCCTGCACAATGTACTGTGGTAAACTCACTTTTATGCAACACAGACACTGACCGACCACTATGTCTTTGTTGTTTATCTGAAGGACTGAGAAACAAAGAGGTGGAAGGCTAAGGATTTCCAATGAGGCCGGAAGCAGCAGTTACTAACTGGGTTTGGGCAAACAATGCATCACACTTAGAGAGATCTGAAGCATAGTAACTATGTGCTGAGATGTTGCTCAATGTTATCTTTGAATAAAATGTGATTTGTTTCAACAACTCATTTGTATTTCTTCATTTACTGTATTTCTGTAAACTCAAGCAAATCTATCTCTGCAGAAACCTCTAGAGCAGTGGTTCCCAAACGGTGTGCCGCGGCACACTGGTGTGCCGTGAGGCAAGTCCGGGTGTGCCGTGGGATTTTGTGACAACCATACGTTATTATTGCAATATACAACTACACAAAAATAATTATTTTTTAATTTACTATATCAGTACTTTGTAGCTTTATATGTACGTAATCTGCGCGACTTGCGCATCCACATCTCCACGTGCAGTGCTACATAAACATGGCTGAGTCAGCGATAACTGTCGAGGGGAGGAGGTATGCCCATTACTTTGAGTTCGTCCGAAGAATAGACAGGAATGTGATGGTGAGGTGCAAACTGTGTCCAGGCCAGAAGCTGTTATCCACTGCTGGAAACACCACGTCAAACCTCAACAAGCACCTGCAACGAACACATGCTAAGGTGAAGCTACCGCACACGCTATTTGTTGTTTGTTTATATCACGTAGTCTGTTCTTCTTCTCTGTCTTCCGGTTGTTGCCTGTTTTGAATGACAAATACACACTACCGCCGCCTGCTGGTAAGGAAAGTTATTGCCACTCACGCATGCGCAGTTCGTACGTGCTCGGCGAGAAAAGTAACGAGTTACTTTATCTAGATAGTAACGAAGTAGTGTAATATATTACTTTTTTTAAAGTAATACATTTATAATTTGTAGTTCAGGACCATGGACAATGCAGCTTCCTTGCATTGACAGTTTTCTGTGCTGAATTTCTGCTGAGTTTCCTTTGCCTCATTTTTAATGTTGTGACCTGTCTGGTTTAAATGAGTGTGTTGCTGCTTTGATGAAGCCTAATTTGATAAAGTTTCAAATTAATTTCTGAAATATTTCGTTAATAAATATTTCACGAGTAATATAGTTGTCTTTGTCACATTTTATTTGGCATTAGTAAATAATTATGCACATGTACAGATATTTTACATGATATGAGTGATAACACGTGTTATAAGGGCTATTTTGCACAATAGGTGTGCCTTGATATTTTTACTTATCCTTTGGTGTGCCTTGGGCACAAAAAGTTTGGGAACCACTGCTCTAGAGCATAGCCCATAACAGATGAGAGTGCTTTAGAGTATGCTCAGCAGTGTGTAGCTGGATGGTCAAACAATCTAGCATTATGAATGAAGTGTGTTATATTTGGTGCTAAAGTTTGCATTTGGTAAGTGTTTATGTAGTTTTGAGGGCAGTTCTTCACTTAGCAGGAGAAATGTGGTGTTTTGCACTTTGGGTGTGTGGTTTTGTGAATTGTGTTTAGTGTTCTGAGAAACTGAGCAATTAAAAAAAAAAAGTGTGTTAGCAATCGAGAAAAACTGTAAGAAGTACAATACAGCACATACAATACAATACAAGCACAAGTTTCAGGTGGGGGCCATATATCATTATACTTTAAGAATTTGCTGAGGGCCAATTAGAAATGGACAACGGGCCGCATTTGGCCCCCGGGCCGTAGTTTAGACACTCCTGGGTTAGAGGTTTAGTTTTGATGCCGGCACCCCAAAGCTTTGCCTCCGTCCCCTCCTGGTAAACTCTCTGGATTCCTGCCCACCTTCTCCACCTAGACCACACTGTGGACCAAGCATCCCCCCCCTGTGGACTCACCCTGGCTCTGCTCAACCCCTCTGCCTCTACCTTTAAGTATTCTTAAAACATGTTTTTTCAACCGCTCTCAGTGCTTTGGGTTCTGAATTTGGGTTCAATCAGTTATCCAGCCTAACAGGAGCTGGCTGACATCGTGCACAGTGGCACATGCTCTACTGAACATACTAATGTCATGATATGTCATTCTATCCATACATGTAGTACAGTAACTTCTTCATAATCTATCTATTCTTGATTTGAGAGATTTATTGTTGACATGTTGTTACGTGTGCTGAGGACGGGCTCTGTATTTGATTTACTGTAAAGATCAGACTTTATTTGGATTGAAGAGAGCAGATCACATTACATTATGTGATTATCAGTATATCCTCAGTTCATATTATAGCAAGGCAAAATGAACTGTTTCAAAACTCAAAATGCTGCAGCTCGTGTACTAACCAGAGTTAGGAAAAGGGACCACATTACTCCTGTTCTGGCTGCCTTACACTAAAATAGTAGCTGCTTCTCCCTCTGTCAAGATTAGGGAGAATAGTCTTAGGTCCATTCACCTTATTACCATTTGTGATTATGAATTGCATACGTGTACCACGTTCCTGGATCAGTCAGTCAGAGGTTCTGTAAATTGGAACTACATTGGGTGGTGTTCTTCTTGGAGACTTTTAAGGTGAAGTAACAAAAAAAGTAATTTTTTCAACATGGAGAGTCTTCCATTTAAGTCAATACAGACATGTAACCTTAAAGGTAACTAAGTGCCACTATAGAACACAGGATAGCATTTAAAATTCTTCTTCTCGCCTACAAAGCCCTTAATGGGCAGGCGCCATCTTACCTTAAAAAACTCATTATACCCTACTGTCCTATTAGGGCATTGCGTTCCAAGAATGCAGGGTTGTTGGTTGTTCTGAGAGTCTCTAAAAGTACAATGGGAGCCAGAGCCTTTTCTTATCAAGCTCCACATTTGTGGAATCAGCTTCCCGTTTGTGTTCGGGCGGCAGACACCCTATCCGTTTTTAAGAGTGCGCTTAAGACCTTCCTTTTTGATAAAGCTTATAGTTAGGGCTGATTAGATTCAGCCCCTAGTTTTGCTGATATAGGCTTAGTTTGTCGGGGGACATCTTACTTCTTCCTTCTCTCTGTCTATACCTGTGTACTCTCATGTTCCGAATAACCCAGCTTCCCCAAATGTCTTTCTTTTTGGTGTCTGTATACGCCGGGATCCGGAGTCATGGATGATCCTGCGGTCCTGGATCGCGAGCCCTGGATCGCGAGTCGTGGCTGTGGTCCTGGATCATAGGTCCTGGATGGATATCCTCGTGGATTCATCTTCCTATTATACACACATGCATTTCCAAACATTTGGACTACCTATGTTGCAAATGTATTATCTCTTCAATTTACACACGGCATCTATTGCACGTCTGTCCGTCCTGGGAGAGTGATCCCTCCTCTGTTGCTCTCCCTGAGGTTTCTCCCATTTTTCCCTTTAAACTGTGGGTTTTCTCCGGAAGTTTTTCCTTGTACGATGTGAGGGTCTAAGGACAGAGGGTGTCGTATTGTCATACTAATATTTTGTACAAACTGTGAAGTCCACTGAGACAAATGTAACATTTGTGATATTGGGCTATATAAATAAACATTGATTGATTGATTGATTGATTGATTGATTGATTGATTGTTTGGTGTATATAATACAGTGTATAACATAAACTGTATTTGAACAAACTGTGCAAAGAGATAACTACAACAGCATATTAAGGCAAAGGGAAATAAACTAATTCAAATAGAGGGGGGTAATATAGAGAGAAGAAAAGTGGTATACTGTATATATGTATATGAGTAAAAAAATGTGAAATTCTCAATTTTCTTTGAATATTATGATGATCATTTCAATGAATGGCTGCTTTGTAACGCCAAGCAGCAAATAGCCGTTGAAACACTGTGGGAAACTTCACATGACTGTCTAAAGGAGATATTTTATTTACATTATATTGATTTGGTAAATAAAATAAAGCGTTTATTCAGCTGAGTAAACTACTTTATTATTGCTGGACATTTTTATTCCAAGAATTTTACAAAGACTGGGGAGAAGTGCTTTAAACTCATAACTCATTCATAATCGTTATACAACATAAAAAAGGACCTGAGAGCAAGGCTTGGATTTGAGATAACACATTTTCACACAATTAAAGTACCTCATTAGGGCCCAATGTCTTTACAGGACACTTCCCCCGTCTGAATCAAATAAAGCACACATTATATCCATTCAAATTATTTGTCTTACTCTTATAATGTATATTACAGAGGAGTTATTTCTTTTATCATGATTTGGATGTCCATGAAGATGTTCCCATCTTGCTCAGCTGCTTCAGAAAGGACAGAAAGAGCCTGTAACGGAGGTGATCTCTGGGCCCATAGATCTCGGCCTCCGTTACGGATTGTATAGCTTCATTGTTGGTGATTGTGTTCACCTGGTGCCCTGTGTTGTCTCCTCCCCCCTCACCTGTGTCTTGTTGGCTTGATTAGTCTGTGTGTATTTAGGCTCTGTGTTTCCTGTTAGTGTGTCATGTACCACAATGAGAAAGAAATGCCCACACCGGGTTGTATTTGGGACGTTCTGCCTCTGTCTCCTTGCTTGGTCGGGCCGCTCAACGGTCAGCTTCACAGAGCCTGAATCCTGTTAGGCTAACTGCAGCTCTGATTGGATCTTCCCGTCCCTCACTCAGGAGTAGGAGCTGGTTTAGTGAGAGCACCTGGGGAATGTTTGTAGATGAGTTTCTCTCCTCTGGCAACACAGCTGACCTTCACTGTCTAGTGCAGCTTTACAAGGCCATCAGAGTGATCAGCAACAAGGCAGCGAGACAAGAGGATGGGCTGCCACACAGAGCTCCATTTTGGCAAGAGCATTGTGTCAGGACGGGTAAACCTCTGTCCTGCCTGTCCCTCTCATGGGTTCTCCTCCTTCCTCCTTCCTTCTCCTTTTCTGTCTCCCCCTTCCACCTCTCCCTGAGCTCCTGTCTGCCAGCAGGTGGAGACAGAGACAGGGAGAGGTCGTCCAGCACAGGTGAGGACGAGGACGGGTCGGGGCAGTCCAGCCAGTCTGCACTGGAGGATCGAGGGTACCCGTCCTGCACTGGGGAGCCTGGAAACAGGAACTTCCAGTAGGAGTCTCCTTTGAAGAGATAGACCGAGCCTGCAGAAGAGGGAGAGAATCAACAGCCTGGATAAGATAAAGGTGATTGTGTTCTAGTCAATAAGCAACAAGCTGAAGTCACTACAAAGGGCAGCAGATTTGCCAACATGTTTTGCTGATTTGCATACGATTTAAACATATAAGGGAGGCAGTGGCCTAGTGCGTTGGTGTTCGTATCAGGGGAGCACAGGTTCAAACCCCACTGCAGTCAGCATGTCGTTGTGTCCCTGAGACATTTCAAGTCGCTTTGGATAAAAGCTTCTAACAAGTGACATGTAATGTAATATAAAATGGCATAAAAGAGAGATCTACAGAAAATAGAGCCTTATAGTTTGTTAACAAAGTTTTAAAGCGAAGAAAGGGTTCAGACAATAATAGTTCACTAATATAAGGATTTGTATTTCATGCCTGTAAACTGCAGATTGATGTATGTAAAAATTAGTAGGTAGTTAGTTTGAACACAGTAGTAAAATTTGAATTTATGAGGGAAAGAAATAACTCGGTTCCTCATCAGAATGACAGGAATGGCTGGCCCACTTGAACAATCGGACTGTGTCAGAATCGCATCGAAAAAGAAGAATATGAACATGACGTTGGAAAATGTGCTTTAATGTTGAAAAAGTTATTTATTTTTCTCATACTGCCTGTGCTGCAGCACCTCTTTTCACCCTCTGTCTGAAACCAGAGCCCAGTCTGCTCTGATTGGTTAGCCGGCAAAGCTCTGTTGTGATTGGTCAACCGCTTATACCTCATTCACACCAACTGTGTTTCGGGGCTGGTTCGGAGCTGGAGCTTGAAAAGCACCGGGTTTTCCTGTTCACACCGCAGCGGAGCAGCCTCTTAGCTCCGGAATCCGGTTCATTTCGAGCACCAAAAAATTGTCCGGCTAGAGCAAAAGCACCGCATACGTCACGCTTACGTCGAGGCGGAGGCAGAAGCGGGATCAACTCCTGAACAACAACAAAAAGCCGGTGTTGTATCCAGCTTGTACACAACGATGGAGAAACTTAACAAGCAGCAGTGGTCCACTGAAGAGACCAGCTACCTACTGGGAATCTGGTCTTCCGAAGAGGTACAGAGGAAGCTGGAGCACAATCGGCCATTGTTGTTGTTGTCGGTGTGAGCTGTGAGGGGTTTCCGTGCGGTTTGGCTTAATGAAGCAAGCACGCAAACGGTTACGTCATGACGCAAAGACGCAGCACCAGTCGGACTCTGGGCGGTGTGAAAAGAGCCGGAGCTAAACCGAAGAACCGGTTCTGAACCTGAAAAACCGGAGTTGCGTTGGTGTGAATGAGGTATTAGAGATGCCCCATAGCCTTTAGCGTACAATGTTTGCTGGAGCGCTAGCAAATAGAAGCTCAACAATCGAAATACTCATAAGGCCTTTTTAACCTGTGACCACATTACTTGAACCTAACCCTTATTTCACTGTTACTGGCAGGTGGAAAAGGGTAGGCACATCTGTACACACCCTCGCTGTCTGTGGTGATGCCACTCACTCCCTCTCTGAGGAGCTGAGTCCAGTCGTCTTCTTGCTTCTCTTCCTCAGCGTTTGCCATGTTCCCCCACACAGGACCCTCCTCTGGCTCCCAGACAAGACCCCACCTCTCTGCTGCTGCTTCCTCCACTTTGTCTGCTCCATCTAAGCTCAGCCCCATCCTGAGGGAGGAGAGGGGCTGAGGGAAGCCCTCCTGGAGCGACAGATCTCTGAACAGCCAGAACTGAGAACCTGCAGCAAGACACAGTTGGAGATGTCAATCTTTTATGAGTCAACTTTGTAACTGATCCATTTATTCATTCATGCTTTTCATAAGTAAGAAGAATAATCCTGTATAATTAATATCATGTATTAACATTATTATACCACTGATAAAGATAATGGCATGATCTGAGGGTCTCTCCAGCACAGCATGCAGCTGAGGCAGGTCAGGAGGTAGAGCCCTCCACAGCCTCCTGACTGAGGCCCCCTGACTCGATACCAAGCCCCCACCATTGACTCGCCACATAGTCAGACCTGGAGGGAGAATAAGGACCAGTGATGCAAGGTGTCAGTGCCAGACAGTTGTCATCTTCACAAAATGAATGTCTTTTTTCTATTTGTGCACTCAGACCTTTGAAGAAGAAAGTCTCTCCTCGGATCCTTGCCACTGCATCAAAGCTGGTGTTACAGCGGTCTATGAAGGGGCTGAGGGGGACACCTTCAGTCAGTACTTCACAATTATTAGAACCTTATGTTGTGCTAATTTTTTCTTATTCGAAGTGCATCTACTGTGACTGGGAAGAGAATTAGCAATGCATTGTGAAGCAGCAGTATTACAAAGTCACTTCTTTGACAGACAGGAAGCCAGGGCAAAGACCTCAGAGTTCTTCTGTGGTTTGAACATTGACGACCGAGCTGAGTTCAGACTTTTCATCGTTTGTCGTTAGTTGAAAAATACCTCAGTTTCTTTATTTAATTAAAGAAAATTCTGATATCCAGTCATTGCTTTTTTCAATGCACTCACTCAGTGCTTGTATTGGAATCATAGTCCCCTTGGGAAATAGTTGTGGACATTTTACTTGTCACCTGCATAGTTATGGTAACTTATTTTGCTGTTATCCATTTGCTGAGCCTGTGGAGAGAAGGGGACCCAGGGTGGAGCCTTGAGGAACTTCACATGTCATATTTGACAGCTAAGATTTGTAATATAGAAACAGAGTAGTCCTCAAATCAGTAAAGAAGGACTAACCATTTTTCCAGCTGGTCTAATATGCTATGGTTGATGTTTTTAATTCAACAAGTCCTCCAACTCATACGACCAAATGGGTCGATTGTTTAAGCCCTTATTACGACCAAATATGTCGTTTGTTCAAGCGCTTAATACGTCCTATAATTACGTTTTAAAGTTGTCGGCCTCTAGTGCTCCCGTTGAATGCAAACGTTACAGATGGTCGTTTATTCACAAATAACCCTCTCTGTAAAATCCTAAATTGTAGGATAGTTTGGCCATTAAAACGCTTTATGATTAGATTTCTAGCGAGAAGTATATATTGTACTTTTAGAATCCACGTCCAGTCGATATGTAGGATCTATAGTTTGATAGATATTACGAAGATGATTTGAGGTTTCGTCAGGAGAACGTGTATATGCGGCAAGCTTCCATGTAAAGTTACCGGTTGAAAACAGTATTTCCGGTCTCGACGTTTTCATAATAAAACCAATGATCAAATGATTTAACAGTGATATCTGCAGTACTCACCCACTAAAAAACATCAGTTTATCCTAGTTAATTATACGACATTAATTGGTTTAAATTGTGTACAATGCTTTTGTGTTTTTCCCATAGGGTTTTCTCTTTCGATTCTGAGAGACACATTTCTTTTTTCAGAGGTTTTGATAGGCTAAAATCACGCCGCAATGCACGTCGGGATATGGTGTTTATGTGATATGAAATCGGAAAACATTTAAAAAAATAATAATAATACTTTATTCCGAGTGTTCTTGCTTTTCTCTTTGAAAGTCATCACATAACGGCATTGTAATACACGGTTCGGCTGCATTAAATATTACACATCTGCCGTAGATATGTATTTATAGAGCCCTGATCAGAAGACCTTTTGACAAACTGGAAGAGATGCCGCCAAAACTGAATACGTGACGTGGACCATAAAATATCAACAATTAAACAACATCTTCCATTTATTTTCACACAATACGTATCCTTGCAGTATCAACACTAATTCGGCTGACTTTTATATTTGATCCAATAAGTAGATAGTCTGTATTTACACCATAACGGTGCACAGCTGATAGAAAGGGACTTTTTTGTAGTTTTTAAAGATATTACTGATTTTCTGAACTACCTTTCCAACTCCTCGTGCAGTTGACTGTTACAGGTCTATAAAAGTTTATGGTACAATGCATAAGCTTCACATTGAGAGACTGAAACTGTATTTTCCTTTACCGTTCTGTTTTAATTTCACAATAAAGTGAATAGTCATATTATGTTTGATATTATTATGTTTTAACTAGACCACTGGTCTAAACCGCACCTCCTAGTGGTTAAAGCACGTTATTGAATTTAGTTGTTGAATAAGTTTAATTTTTATGAAAACATTTAAATATTAAGAGTAGCCTATACAAAATAGGGGTCAATGATAGAAATATAGAATAGAAAATATCAAGAAGATACTGTAGTGATCTCTACAATAAAACAGTTTAGTGCAGGACGTCCAAAGATATTAACAGGAGGATGTGCAAAACAGACAAACTGATAAGGCTGAATTTTACTCAGGTGTAACTAAAGTCTGATTTAAGGGTTGTTTATATTTCACATCATTAATCAGAATCTGCAAAGTAACAAAAATAAATGTAGTAGAGTAAAAATACCAGGTTGACCTCTGAATTGTAGTGGAGTAGAACAAAGTAGTACATGCTGCTGTAACAAAAACATTTCCCAACTTGGGATCAATAAAGTATCTTATCTTAAGATGATCGATGGCTACTGCCATATTTGCTAAATGTGCATCTGAACCTTGACAAGTGCATGTTTCAGGCTTATCAATGAACAACAGGAGGGGTCACAGACATAAGACCAGCTGTTAAATAAAGCTCTTCTGACCTTAGCTGTCATGTGGGTATATTAATGCTGCCCATTATGGGCACAAGCAATTTTCACCCATGTATTAATTATATGTTTTAAATTTGATAACACCAATGTGTTTCGTATTCCCTAAACCTCCAGGGATGTATACAGTTTAATACTGGCAACTTCTAATTGTGGGAAATACGAAAACGTCTTATAAAACTACAATTCCAAGTAGAGACGTGCCATAGAACATATTGCGAAACACACAATAGCCAGCATGTGTAATTCTGGGGGGGAGGGCTGGGCTGGACCCGTCCAAGTCCAGTTTTGGATAGTCTGGCGTGGTTCCATTCCATTTCAAAGAGCTGTTTGACATTCGGCGTAACCTTGTCTCACTGTCACTCCAACATCCAATCACAGAGCTTGAGGGCTAATCACGGGGTTTGTAAAGCAAGGCGGATGTTGTAGTCCCAAACGATAGCTGGGGATTCTGGGTAGTGTAGTGTCTTCGGAAACTCTGTAGTGTCTAAACTCCGAAAAAACTATTTGTTTCTCCGAATCGAAGGTTAAAAACACAAAAGCATTGTACACAATTTAAACCAATCAATATTGTGTAATTAACAAGGATAAACTGATGTTTTTAAGTGGATGAGTAATGGAGATCATTTGACAGTGTGGGGAATACTTCCGGTTTTATTATGAAAACTTCGAGACCGGAAATACTGTTTTCACCCATGCTAACTTTACATGGAAGCTGCCCCATATACACGTTCTCCTGGCGAGACCTCAAATTATCTTCGTATATCTATCAAACTGTAGATCCTACACATCCACTGGACGTAGATTATAAAAGTACAATATACACTTCTCGCTAGAAATCTAATAAAAAAGCATTTTAATGGCCAAACTATTCCACAATTTAGGATTTTCCAGAGGGTAATTTGTGAATAAACGACCCTCCGGAGCGTTTGCAATCGACAGGAGCTTGTTGTTTCTTACACGACCACTAGAGGTGCTACACTTTAAAACGTGACTCTGGGTCGTATTTAGCTGCTGAACAATCGACCTATATGGTCGTTTTTTGTAGGAGGACAGGCTGTTTTAATATCTTACCCATATTTGTGATGATGGTGGTGACCTCTGTGGCGAAGCTGAGGGTCTGGGGCGAGGCGTGGAGCATCAGTGGCCAGCAGCTGGTTCCTTTTCCCTAAATCAGAAGATCAAATCTAATCAGATACTATATATATATATATAATAATGATGTAGCATAAAAATACTCAACGTTATGCTCAACAGCTGCTGATTGGCCCGGAGAAGCATAATGACTAAAAACAACGCAGTCACACATTTTCTAACAGTGAATGTCTTTCTTTGGAAACTTAAGTCTTAACAATACATGGCTTTCACTTTTCAGCATATTGTGGAGGATAAAACCGTCTGTACTTCCTCGATAACAAACAACTGGTTCAACGTTGTCCTCATTTAGCCATGCACGCTATGTGGCCATTTTGACTATCTGAATATGTTAAGTCCTAATAATTAATTCATTATGTCTTCTTTCTATGGTGGTGTTGTGATGCTAGACTATATTTGGTTCTTGATATAATATATGCATCCTCATGTGCCAACCATGCATTTGCACCCTTTATTCTCATTGTAGACAATCTGGTGTTTAAACTCAGCTGTGAGAAAGGTCTACTTTTGCCTTACCATAGAGCTGAGTGATGTGCTCCAGATCTTGAGCTCCCAGGCGGTAGTGGAGAGGGTCTCCGGCGGGCCCCTGGTAGTACGGCCTCATCACTGAGTTGCGAGACGAGGAGTGAGCAAGGCCCAGAGCATGGCCAAACTCATGGACCAGCACTGTGAACAGGTCGGTACCCTCAGAGGCTGGGGGGGGGAGAAGAGAGGAAGACCATGAGCTAATGAGAAGCTGTGGGGGATCGTGGTCCTAATGTCTTTTGATTTGGAGCGATTGTGACAGGTTGTGACTATTATGGCCAAAACCCCAGAAATCAGATACTCAAGGTTGCAATGCTCATTACACACCACAAGATGGAGCAGTTGGACAGAATCAACCACACATTGACAGTGTTGCATTTCTTTGGATCTTCTTGCTAAACAGAGAGCAAATGTAAAGTTTGAGGCAGCTTTGTTTCTATTGGCTAGCATAATTGTACCCCTCACATAGAAAATGGCTAATTACATCATGAATCATGCTGTGCAAGTGAAAGAATGATAATAATAAGAAGCGATCATTCCCCACTGGACCATGACCATCATCACATTTAATAGCAATGCATAAATAATGCTTTGTACAAAATGGATCATTTGGAAGGTAGCTACACAGTGCATGGGGATTCACTACAAACAGGACCACATCTTTATAAGCAGATTTATGAAAGCGTTTAACACAATTAATATTGATATAAATATTCACAGTCACAGAAGCTTTTCGGAACTTGTCATTTAATCGTATAATGTTACATTTGCTTTCTGTTAACCCTCCTGTTGTCTTCGGGTCAAATCTGACCGATTTACTACTTTCATCAATCATAACTTTTTTGTTTTATATTCGAGTGCATTAAGGCTTTATGATATCCTTCACAGTAGACATTTGAACATATAAAATTGCTGATCACCACTTTCATTGAATTTTGGATGATTTAGTCAACTTTGTAACACCATGGTGTTCCCGGTCAAACATGACCACCATAAAGAAAAGGAATTAGTAACTATCGGGATCAGATAAAACACACACACACACATCCTAGATGTGTTCCCCCCCCCCTTATGTGCCCATCCCCCCCATGTGAATCACACACACACACGCACACACACACACACACACACAGAACAATTTGACACATTTCCCGCTCTTATGTGCCCATCCCCCCCATGTGAATCACACACACACACACACACACACACACACACACACACACACACACACAACAATTTGACACATTTCCCGCTCTTATGTGCCCATCCCCCCACATGGATCACACCTGGCACACGCAATACATGTTCAGTGTCTGTTCTTTGTATATTTACTGCAGTTTTTCCTGTATACCAGTAGTCTGATGCAATATTTACAGTTTGAAAGGGTGTTAAATGAAATGTGGTGATGATTAATGTGTGATGGAAATGATGGTACTAAAGCTTAATACAGTGTAAACCTAATGAAATGTAAACTGCTGTATTCTGCAAATGTCATGTCAACGGTTTGACTGATTAGGTCAAATCCCTGGAGTGACCTTTGAATGTGTGTGAGTGATCAACAGATGTTTTTGCAAGGGGGTTTTATGACACTACAGGAAGGAAGTTAAGATAAGGTGTTATCTGTATCCCTTTTGCTCTGTATTGAGTGAAGGTTTTGCATACCGTGTCTGAGGGGTATCTGTATATCCCATTGTCTTGTATAGTGATGGTTTTGCATACTGTGCCAGAGGGGGTATCAGCTGGCCTCCCAGAATGTTGTTGTAATGTAAATCTGCTTTGATGTCCTCCTATAAAGAGAGCCGGTTTCACTCTGAACAGTACGTGCTCTTTTGGAGGAGACGTCATACTTGCACGTATAAAAGATCCTTATTGCTTTTAATACGAATATTGTGTTGCTGTACGTTTGTTACCTTGCTGATTATTCTCTCTAGACCACAGCTGTTTAGAAAGCTGCTACGACAAATGGTTTTTGTGTTTATGTAATAGCAGTTAAAACAGGACCGGTCAAATTTGACTGCGAACACCAAAGTAAGGGGGGGTGGAACGAAGACAATAGGAGGGTTAATAAAATGGTCCCTCTCTCACAGACCTCGAGTAGTGAGCCACCACATTGACACAAACGGACACATTCTTTGATTTTATAGATAAAATGGCGATCAATAGAAATAGCTTGCCAGTTGAAAGACAAAAGAACAATCATTGAGACACAAAGAAATGTAAAGCTGTGACACGTCGTCTTTGTCTTTCTGCAGAAAAGCAGGAATAAACCTGTTGTAATTGTGCAGAAATATATATTGCTAACCTGGCTGTCTAAAGGCCCACTCCTCCTCTGCATCCAGGTGGACTCCTCCGGCCCGGGCAGCGTCTGATGGGAAGAAAGCATGGCCGACTGCACCTCCTGCCCCGTCAAAGGGATAGCCATCTCCGTGGTAACCATGGAGGAAGTCTACCTGTAGGTCTGCTGTATGTGGGCTGCCCACCTGAACACAGAGGGCAACAGAAGGGACATGGTGGTGATCAATGTCCTCACATGGCTCACTCTGTAGGAAACTCACACCCGTCATTTATTTTATTTTTTTAAACCTTTATTTATCCAGATAAATCCCATTGAGATCATTGAACTCTTTTACAAGGGAGACCTGCTATCATGCTGTCATGAATTCAGCATCAGGTATAAATACCCACCTCATGGAACTCCAGGGGAGTTGGCTCTGCCCACACTCTCAGAGCATAGAACACCAGGGAGCGAATGGTCTCCCGGGACAGATGTGAGGAGGAGGGGTATGAACGCAACCTGCACAAAGTGTGTTTGTGTGAGTAAGAGAGAGACAGAGGGAAAGACACACACTTGACTTTGAATAACTATAAAATACACATGTTTGTTCCAGTTTGCAGATCATAAGTATGATTTAAGATAACTTCATTTGAACCAACCTCCAGTTAATGCTCCTGCGTGTCCACATGGAGAGGGCCCTTTTCCTCCTTCTCCTCATGTTGCCTCTCTCTTGGTTGGCCGCTGGTTTGGCTTGGTCCTCCTGGTCAGGCAGGGAGCAGCGTGGACTCCTCATCAACGCATTTGTCTCCTCATCTGGACACACCAAATCATAGAAGAACCAGAGGAGACAGTATGATTCACATACAGAAGACCAGATTCAGGAAGGACGAGGCTGACCGTCAGCGTGTTGCATCTTAAAGTTCTCCTATCACGCAACATGCACTTTTCGATGTCTTTTATACCTAAATATGTATCCCCGGTGTGTAAGGAGACTCACAAAGTGTCGAAAACAAAACCCTCTCTCTTTTCCTCCGTACCCAAATCTCTAAAAATGGAGGAGCTGATCCAGATTTGCGTCCGATATGACGTAATATCTGAAATGTAGGCTGGCTTTACACGCACGGCCCTATCAGAAACGTCTCTATCAGAATCAAAGCGCAACGTTTTTTGGACGTAATATTGTCTTTGTTTACATGAGCAAGCATCGCTAACACTCAGAGCTAACCTGTACTGGAGAGAGCTAACCTGTACTGGAGAGAGTATGTGTAAAGAAGCAGGAAAAATAAAGGAACTCACCTTGTGGTAAACCCGCAAGAGAAAAAGTATTTGAGCTCCATACTGTTTCAGAAATAATGCTTGATGTGGTTTAGAACATGATATGGCGTTTAATCACGGCAGCATTTGGCTGAGTATCTGGGTAGAATTCTCCTGCATGAGCTCCCCTCTCCTCTCGTTTATTTTTTATTTATTTAAAGCTACAGACCCAGAATCAGCACTTCTCTAACAGGGCTGAAATAGAGGGGTATGAAGCTACAATGGGTGATCTGTTTGGTATTTTGAGCAAAACACTTCATAGACATGTTTTTATATATTTCTATATATCTGAGACCTAAAAATAGTGTAATTGGACCCCTTTAAAGCAAAGCATTTAGCCTTCCACCGTGTTAACCTCACCTATAACTCCAGTGTCTTTGAGGCCTGCAAACCTCTGCATGGCCCTCACAGCGTTAGTGACAGCTGTCCAGGCCTGCAGCTGCCCAGTGGAGGGGTCTGAGGGTGGGAGGTAGCCATATTTCATCAACCAATCCTATGAGAAGAAAATAATGTTACTCCGACTGCTGTTATAGATGCACCGGCATTGAGTAGTAAAAGCAAAGGGTTATAATCATGTCTATGTCCATGCACAACATTTTGAAACACTTTATTTGTTAGAATAGGATTTGTGTTAAATAAAACTCTTAAATAAAACTTTTTCTTCAGTTTTATTGCCATAAAAATACCTCTCCAGTATAGCTAGCTAACAAACTAATTTAGCTAGGTGCCGTCTTTTCAGACAGAGTATCCACAGTGTGTCAAAAGAGATGACCTTTCCATGTTCTCTGTATGGAGTCAGGTTTATTGCAGATTATAGATTATTTATTGCAGATTATAGATTATAAATAAATCATTTAGGGACAAGGGGGTGAGATTAATTAAATGATACTTCTTCTCACTCCTTTTCGAACACTAGATGTGGCACTGTTTATGTTGCTAATGCTGTTGTTGTAAATGTGATTTTTTGTTTTGATTTCTCTTACATGACTATGCACTGCAATATTTGTTTTGTAATTATTCATTTTACTTGTTCGAAATAAATGTATCAATCAATCAATCAAAAGGTCAATCTCAATATTAATGAATGCACACAGGACTCGTGTTTTGTTTTATAAACACATGAATATTATTGCATCAATGCTCTGTAAGATCTTGGCATGTATGATTCAAAGGTTTTATTGTCATATGCACAAAGCTACTGTGTAGAAATGGCAATGAAATTCTTCTGACCTGAGCTCCAACAATGCAACACATATATTAAAATACAAACATACAAAATAAAAAGTTGTGCAAAAAGTCTATATGCTTTTCTTTACCACCAGTTTGGTGCCCTCATCTTCAGTGGGTGTCGCGGGTGCAGAGGAGGGTGTGGGGGTCACATCAGCAGTAGAAGACGTTTGCATCCATCCATTGCTCAGACACAAAAAGATAATCCACATCTTCATCTTGGCAGCATTTTCTTTTGGCTCAAATATTTACTTTGAAATCTTTAGCACCATTTGTAAATCCATCTGAGGTCATTCTCCATCCCTGTCGGGGAAAACAAGGTTGGAGATGAAATTGCAGCAGTGAATACATCAATTATTACATGTCACTTGTTAGTCGCTTTTATCCAAAGCGACTTACACTCAATACTCTGGGCAATCCCCACAGGAGCAATTTGGGGTGAAGTGTCTCAGGGACACAACGACATGCTGACTGCAGTGGGGTTTGAACCTGCTATCCTCTGATTCGAAGATCAGCGCAATAATCCACTGAGCCACAGCCTCCCGGAAATGGAAATGTTATTGCAAATGAGTCCAATATTGGTAATACAAGAACATGTTAAAGTAATTGTTGGGAAAATATTAAGCAAGACAGAAGACACATTCCCTATTGAGTGTTATCAGCCCATGTAATGGCTGTTATTTTGTTATGATGTTCTCTCTACTAGTATGTTAATCCTAACTGGCCAAACTGCTATGTTGCTATGTTTAAAAAAAGATCAATGGTTGTGCTAAAACAAATATGTTTCTTATATCAGTTAAGTTTAATATGTCGGAGTACGGAACCTACTCGAAATGCAGCAGGCAGCTTCCATGAGGCTGGTTCCTGTTGAGACAGCCGTTCAACAGGCCGACAACATCTTTATGGATTGAACCTGTTATTAATATTGTTTGGGCCATGGAGCAACCTTGTCATTCATATGGACTGGTCTTTGTGTCTACCTGATGTAAGTTCTTTTAGCTGTTTCTAGTTTCCATGAACTCCTGAGAAAAATGTATGTCTCTTTAGTCCAAAATGCTTTAGGATGTTCACCATAGTCTCTAACTGTGTCTGTCTGCTGCTTTTCTTCATCTGCAGGTAGTGGACAATGTACCTTTGCAGTAAACAGTGTACAGCTTTTCACAGCTGTCTGCTGCGGCTGAAAACCAGTGAAGGAAAACAATGACAGCAGCCGGACAGAGAGAAGCTTTGAGTAGGTAGAGTCATCACTACAAAGCACCTTCACATTGTCACAATGTTTTCAGATCATCACAATACTTTGTTTTATTTATATATATATTTAAAATATATTGATTATAACTGCTTTAGGTGCCCCATATGGAGCATACGCAACGAGTAAAGCAACGAGTAAAGCAACGAATAAAGCAACGAGTAAAGCAAGGAGTAAAGCAAGGAGTAAAGCAAGGAGTAAAGCAACGAATAAAGCAACGAGTAAAGCAACGAGTAAAGCAACGAGTAAAGCAACGAGTAAAGCAACGAGTAAAGCAACGGGTAAAGTAACGGGTAAAGTAACGGGTAAAGCAACGAGTAAAGCAACGGGTAAAGCAACGAGTAAAGCAACGAGTAAAGCAACGAATAAAGCAACGAGTAAAGCAACGAGTAAAGCAACGAATAAAGCAACGAGTAAAGCAACGAGTAAAGCAACGAGTAAAGCAACGAGTAAAGCAACGAGTAAAGCAACGAGTAAAGCAACGGGTAAAGTAACGGGTAAAGTAACGGGTAAAGCAACGGGTAAAGCAACGGGTAAAGCAACGGGTAAAGCAACGAGTAAAGCAACGGGTAAAGCAACGGGTAAAGCAACGAGTAAAGTAACGAGTAAAGTAACGGGTAAAGCAACGGGTAAAGCAACGGGTAAAGCAACGGGTAAAGCAACAAGTAAAGTAACGAGTAAAGTAACGGGTAAAGCAACGGGTAAAGCAACGGGTAAAGCAACGAGTAAAGCAACGAGTAAAGTAACGAGTAAAGCAACGAGTAAAGCAACGAATCAAGCAACGAGTAAAGTAACGCGTTGAAAAGTAATATATTACTTTTTTTGAGTAACGACCCCATCTCTGGTCACATCTAGCTGTGTGCTCTGGTGCCATTTCTTTCAGGTTACTTTGCTCAGCAACCAACCAGCAAACTGCAGCAGCTGATCTTTTCCCAGGCATTGTTTCTAAGATGTTTCTATTACAAATGGTAAAAGCAGTGTTTTGTCTCTGCTCTACCCCGCTATGCTCAGTGTGTGTTTGTGTATGCCAACACACAGGAATTAGAAACCTGAAACACACTTCAGGAGAATAATATTGAACGTGGGACAGTTTAGCACCTCTGCTCCAAAAATGTATACATTGGAACACTGGATAGATTTTACGTTAAGGGTAATCCTACAATAAAACAATGAACCTCTTCTCCACGTCAACTGAAAACTGATATGAATTGAAGAAAATAAAGATGGCCGTGATAGTTTGTTCATCGTCACGTGATAAGAGTAGCAAGCTGCTGCCTTCAAGAAGTTCAACTACTTTAGAATTAGGGCACAGCTGTTGGGAAAAATAGGCTTTGTGCTTCACGATGGCATCACTTTCACGTTTAAGTGCGCCTTCCGTCTGTCTTCATTGACAGCAGTGGATTTGAGCGTGTAGAAAATGTGGTATGTGTACGATAAGCAGTGTTGGGACTAACGCGTCATAGTAACGCGTTACTATAACGCCGTTATTTGTAACTAGTACTCTAACGCATTACTTTTCAAATTCAGTAACTCAGTTACCGTTACTACATGGTGCGTTACTCCGTTAGTTTTTTTATATAGTCAACAGCCAGGCGTAAATGTACTTAGATACTTCCTGTGTCACATGCGGAGACGCGCTGTGGGCGTGTTTGTGTTGTTTACTAACAAGACTATCATGGCGGCGGCGGAGCTCAAGTCTAGTTTCTCCACCTGGAGATATTCTCACTATTTCACTTTTGTCGAGCACAAAGAAAAGAACGTTTTAGTTAAATGTAAGTTGTGTCCTGGCGGGTCAAAGATCCTATCTACTGCCCAAACCAGTAATTCAAATCTCTTAAAACATCTGCAAAAACAACATGCTGGGACGAAGCTAGTAGCTAAGACCACAGAGACTCAGCCGACGCCACTCCACCTCCACCTAAACAACAGCGGCTGGATTTTAACCAAGGGACTGCTAGCCAGGGAAAAGTCGATAAAGCCATTGCACGGTATGTTGTAGAAAACATGCAGGCTATTGCTACAGTGGAGTCACCTGCTTTCAGGGAGCTAGTTAGCATGATAGCATGTCCGGGCGGCACACGGCATATGGGACGGAAAACTTTTTCCAACTACCTGGAGAAAGAATATACAAAAATGGAAAGCCAGCTAATATCGATGCAATCCAGATTGCATATAATGCATGTCAAGTTGATCAACAGATTGTATTATTCTCCAATGCAATAACAGTACTGAAATGAAGGCTATAAGGGCATTAATGGGAGCCCCTTTTTCAAGTAACTAAAACGTTACTTTTCAAAGTAAGGCATTACTTTTTTGTGTAAGTAACTAGTAAAGTAACTGAGTTACTTTTGAAATGAAGTAACTAGTAATGGTAACTAGTTACTGGTTTTCAGTAACTAGCACAACACTGACGATAAGCGAGTCAAATTAACCAAACATTAACGACTCTTTGAAATGCCCAAAATCCATCAGAAATCTGTCAGAATATGCAATTTAACCAAAATCTTCCATCAAATATACAACTACAGGAGACTCTTATCTCCAGTGTATTAACTAACTTTAGCGAATGCAATGCCTTTAAGCTTCTTTGGCTCTAACGAAAAACCCTTTGACATCCAACATCACAACAGCATGAATGAGTTAAAGCGGTCAGTGGGTGAAGTCGACGGGAAACATCCATCCTGTATTCCCACTGGGGGACAATATACCAGATTCAATCAGAAGATGGACAGAAATTACCATACAAGACGGAGGGGAGGGTCCCGGTACAGGACAGGGGTTTGATGTGAGTGTGTGTCCGTGTCACTCAGAGGCTTCCTTTAATTAAGTTAGAGGGTATACCATTTCAGTTAAAGCATGGAGGCAGAGAGGACAGGATGAAAAGGAGGGATGAATGGAGGACGAGGATTGCAATGACATTAAGAGGCAAAGAGGGCAAGAGTCACCGGGGGTGTTCTGTTAAGAAGCCTCAAATGCAAGGTCATATTAAACTGATTCTGTGAAACACATTTTCATAACATATATTTGTTTTGTGAAACATTAGCTTACACATTTTACGTTAGCTCTTCTTCTTAACAGTACATTCAACATGCTGCTTTTTGACAGCCTGTTCAGTTTCATTTCAATTTCCCAATTCGGGATCAATTAAGTAAATCTAATACAAACCGAACTTTGTATAACACAATGTCAGTGCGTTCAAAACATGTTTTCTATGAGAAAGCTGATATATTTGTGGCCGTGGCTGAGAACATTGAGATCACAGCCATTATTGAATAACCCGAACCCTCACTGAGCCTTTTGTTTGCTTATTATAGTTACCTATGTTTTAGTTTTAGACCAAGTAGCAACATTAAAAAACACACCCAAAATAATCAGCACATCTCTTCCAGAATCTGATTCGAGGTTAAGGGTTAGAAGGTAAAACAAAAAAAACATTGAATTCTCTGTAATTGAAATATCTTCTCTGATAAGTATGTCTAATATCCCGGCTACTGTCCTGCTCTGAAGCCAAACTTTCCCTTAAGGCTTAACAGAAGCCAATCACTATATATATACCACTAAATTGTGTCCTTGGGCAGGACACTTTACCCGCATTTGCTCCTGTGGGTAACGTCCGCAGTAATGACTCTTACATGTCTAATATGTGTAATGTGTACTTGTAAAGCGCTTTGAGCACCTGTAAAAGCGCTCTAATAAAAAATGTAATGCATTATTATTATTATTTATTATTAAATGTCAGGATATGACTCATGCAATATTCTCACTATCTGGCATGCACACCTCAGAGAAGCTTACAGGTCAGCAGATAAGCTGCACACAGCATTAAGGAAGAGTGTTTTACCTTCCTCCTCTGCGTCCGTCCTCTTCTTCACTCCCTCTTTATCTGCCACTATAGGAACAGATGGCTCCTTTCTCTTCTCTTGATTCTTCCCTAAGACCCCCACTCCCCACCCTCTGCCCCACCCACTGCCACACTGAGAGTACAAATGTCAGCGTTTGTGGAAGCAGTCCCTTTCCTTCACTTCAGAAGATTCAACCTCAGTTTCCTCACTGTTCCATCTGTGAGCTCTGCATCCCCACACATCGTTAACATACATGATAATAGATGCGTTGGTTTGACACGATTCCGCTTTTCTAAAATGAAAGAAAGCCCTCTCTGGAATCCTGTATTTGACCCGGGAGGATTAGTGAGTGTTACACAGCAAAGATGGGTTTAGATGTGTGTGTGTGCATGTTTCCCTGTGTGCAACATCTGCATGTGTATCTTCTCTCGTGACGGTATTAACATTTTACACACAATCCTCTTAACATGCGGATTAAAAAGTCAAATGAAGACCAACAGATGTGTCTCTCTGTCTGTGTTCCCTCGTGTTCTCTCTCTCTGCGAGCCAACACAGCTTTCACTGTGATCTGTTTCTTTGAATACAGCTGCCTTCCATTCAACACTCTTGAAATGAAAAGCAGAGGACATGAAGTGGAATCACATACTTGGAAGACTGAGTGCATATTATTAGTACCTTGATATTGTCTATATGCCGATTCATGTTCAGAATAATATTCTCCATACTTTCCCTGTAATCTGCTCTTTTACCGCAAAGACCAACACGCGTGAGGCTGATGTGATAGTACAGAAGACACACATACAGACTTCACAATCAAAATACTTGATTTCTCCTGGTGGGGACATTGGGTTTTGTATTTGTAATATTTTAGAATATAAATGTGGGTCCCACAGTAATATCGGGCCTGATAATAGACATGATATCATATTGCAAACCTTCTTTGTATTTCTTTAACCTGTTTCTGATGTTCATGTGCCATTTGAATATCTAGTAGGTAAGTGAGAGTTACCACGAGTGAAGCTCAGGGGTCCTTCAGGGGAATCCTTAGTGCCGAGAGCAGCCTCGTGCAGTGATGTACACTAGCGAAATGCAGATAATATATGATCATTTATCGGAATGTGAAATGTGTGTCAGCCGCTATCGCTTGATTGGACTAATGGCTGTATTTGAGCCTCCTTTAACTGAACAGCGAGTTGTGTGTGTGGTGAAAGGTGTCAGAATATGTGTTTAGTGGGTTAATAGTAAGCATACTTATAGTAGTCTATGTTTAATGTAAGTTTGAGCATGTGAATGAAAGTTTAGAATAAGACATTACTTATTGTAGCGTGCCCGGTGCAATTAACAAATCAAAAGGATTTTATTTTATAAACTTTCGATGCATGGAAGTCCCTTTTATGTCAATGTATGCAACATAAAAGAAATAAAAAGGGATATAAACATAATAAGTTTACAGTATAGTACAAGTCCTTGTAGCCACAGGGACACAGTGTCTGAGGCACAGGAAGGAGGCAGGACGTCCTCCTCAGAGACCCTCTGAAGGCTCCTCCTTCTTCTCTATTGTTTACCCCTGCATCTCTTGTCACATGCCATAAATGCTCCAGTAATAAAGCCTAAAAGACAACAATGAAAACTGAAATGTTACTGTGGTTCATCGGAGTTAGCTGCTGCTTCACCTGTGTGTGTGTGTGTGTGTGTGTGTGTGTGTGTGTGTGTGTGTGTGTGTGTGTGTGTGCGTGTGCGTGTGCGTGTGTGTGTGTGTGTGTGGGGGTGTGTGTGTGTGTGTGTGTGTGTGTGTGTGTGTGTACTTCTGATAATGTGCTACTTTATCAAACCACCAGGGCTTTTAAAACATTTTCAGTATAGAAACTCTCAGAAACGCACAGTTCACAACCTGCTCAGCGATATATAGCAAACAGGCGAAGTTAGTGATTAGCTGGGAAATAGCAGCTAACAAACAAAAAACACCAGCTGCTATTCAAGCTATTAATCTCAGGAGAACCAACCTGAGCTAATGCTAATGCTAATGCTAATGCTAATGTACTAATTGCTGATTCGCTATGTTTCTCCTCAGAAAATAAGTTCATATGAAAACATGAATCAAATTTTCTGGGGTGAAGGGAGATTGAACGTTTACTCTGTCACCATGACAACAGGCCACTTCCTCATGAATTCAGCGGCTGGGACAGGTCAAAAGGTCACTTGGTGGTAATGATGACAGATGAAGGGTTAGTGGCTGGGGGGGGGCGGGTGTTGTAAAGTATCTGAATGGGGCTGTGTGTCTGTGACTGTGTGCTTCATCTTGCTGTTGTCCATAGCAACAACATGCTCTTTTTGGACTCCATGCTGACTCTTGTCTCTAAGTGACCGTCTGTGAAGTCATGCACTCATGGGACCTCTGTACATCTGCAATACAGATAGAATTTTAAAATACATTTCATATTGAAGTTGTAGTTGCTAAGACACAACTATATTCAATCTTTACAAGTGGAAGGAAATCAGAGGATGGAATATACATGGAGAAATGTGCCTGGCTAATACACTGAACAAATGATATTGGTAATGGCCCGCCCTGCAGCGCCACAAAGAGAGCAGTGTTGAAAGGATAGTGATGAGCTACACATGTGGTCTCATTTATGGAATTACGCACTCCTTAGTTGATAATAAAAGGAAAGGAGTGACAATTTGCAACCGGACGAAAATAACTAGACCAAAGCAATTGGGAGATTTAAAGCAACCCGCCCCCCTTAATATAATGCCGTTGAGCACAGACTTAGGCAACTAAACGCAAAAGCACGCTCCAAACGTAATGTCGAAATTGGAGTGTAAGACATCTTTTCAGAGACAGAATGTCTTTGCTCTGAGGTATACTAATGTCAAATATAAGATACACAAAATATACCCTTTACAAATATGTTTTCTCACTGTTGTGTCATTTAAAGGAAATGGTTATAGGTATGGAGTTGTTATATGAGCTTATGTAGCTAGTTTAGCCAGGACAAACACTATTTATAGGAAGATTTTGTCGTGGATGTTCTCTTTATATATCTATGGTGGTAAAGTAAACCGACTCAGCTTCACTCTGAAAATAGCATTGTTGACTATAGAAAATTATATAGGCCGATTGTTCATGCCCTTATTACGACCCAGAGACACGTTTTAAAGTGTATGTTGTTTCTTACACGACCACTAGAGGTGCTCTAGTGGTCGTGTAAGAAACAACATGCTCCCGGCCCGTTCATTGCAAACGCTCCGGAGGGACGTTTATTCACAAATAACCCTCTCGGGAAAATCCTAAATTGTGGAATAGTTTGGCCATTAAAATGCTTTTTGATTCGATTTCTGGCGAGAAGTGTATATTGTACTCTTAGAATCCACGTCCAGTCGATGTGTAGGATCTATAGTTTGATAGATATTACGAAGATGATTTGAGGTCTCGCCAGGATAACGTGTATGCAGCTTCCATGTAAAGTTAGCGTGGGTGAAAACAGTTTTTCCGGTCTCGAAGTTTTCATAATAAAACCGGATATATTCCCCTCACTATCAAATGATTACACAGTGATATCTGCATTACTCATCCACTAAAAAACATCAGTTTATCCTTGTTAATTACACAATATTGATTGTTTAAATTGTGTACAATGCTTTTGTGTTTTTAACCTTCGATTCAGAGAAACAAATAGTTTTTTCGGAGTTAAGACACTACAGTTTCCGAAGACACTACACTACCCAGAATCCCCAGCTATCGTTTGGGACTACAACATCCGCCTCGCTTTACAAACCCCGTGATTAGTCATCAAGCCCTGTGATTTGATGTTGGAGTGGCAGTGCGTGTCACGATCTGTCTGTGTTGTGTTTTGTCTTGTCTTTTTCTGTCTTTGGTTTCATGTTTTATTTTGAAAAGTCTTCACCCACTGTCTTGCCGGTTGCTTTCTGTCTGTTTTCCCTCCTACCTGATTACCCGATTGTGTTCACCTGGTGCCCCTGTGTTTTCTCCTCCCTCCTCACCTGTCTCTTGTTTGTGTGATTAGTCTTGTGTGTATTTAAGTTCTGGTTTCTCTGTCTGTCATTGTTGGTTCATTGTTTGTCGTTGACTGTGTTCACGAGGTGGTGTTCTGGTTGTTCCTTAAAACCTTGAAATAAAGGTATTTTTTCTGTTTATTCTGCATTTGGGTCCTGCCTGCTTCACTCACCTTAACGGTAGTGATGGCGAGATGAAGCCTTATGAAGCTTTGAAGCTTTCCAGCCAATTGGTTCGCAAAAGGGTTCATCTCATGAGGCTTCATCATGGGCTTCATTTGAACACAAACCCCCTGTTGGTCAAAGTGTGTAAAACAGGCAGATTGGACATCTCAACAGTGTGCTCTATCTCATACCGAGTTCCCATTGATTAAAGCCTTAGAATAACTCTAAACAACGAACATTAAATCATATTTTCATGTCAACAATATTGTTTTTATTCCAGTTGAATGATTGTGATTGAAAAGCCTAAGGAGGCTGGTAAACATTGCAAAGAGGGATTTGTATTCCTTCATAAACGTAACCATGTTGTAGCCTGAGAAAGGCTAAACCATATCAAAGAATACATTTATTAACTACATTATCTCATTTAGCTGTAGCTTTTATAAACAACAAAAAATACGTAGGCCTATTGACCAGTTGTTGAACCAGGGACCCTGCGGTCGTGAGTCAACTGCTTTCCATGAGCCCCACACTGAATCTCCCTGAAAACACTGCACGATATTTATTCCTGTATTTATTCATTTATTTATTCATGTTTTTATTCCTACATTTATTTATGCTTGTATCTATTTATACTTATGAGTATGACATGTTCCGACCTCTATATAAGTGAGGGTCTGAGCTCTCTTAATTCCATCGTGTCACCGGGCCCAGGTACAGGAGGGGTAATAATATGGTTCTTCTTATTATACATCCATGGGTATAGGCCATAAGGTGAACCCTGTTATCGTTTCATCCCGCTCCACAGAAGTGGAACTACACAATCTTTAGTTCATAAAAAAGAACGAGTCATGCTTATCCACCAAAAAAAAGTTCGTCGCTAAAATTCCTGTCAATTCTTCTAGGCACGTAATTATTGGCTGAACTAGT